TATTCATAATAAAGGTAGGTAAGCACAAGCAGAAAGCATTCTAAACTTGAAATTTAGGCTAACCTAGACTTAAAAGAGAACCGGGATGTCCTTGACAACCAGCTTGGGGCAGGGGGTGGGTGCTTAAAGGAGACAGCTCCATCTCATGTCCCGGGGAAGGGGTGCGCGTAAACCTAGCTTGGAAACGTGAGACCTGATTTTACCCCCAGGACCCTGAATTAGCAGAGGTTGGGAGAAAGGACCAAAATTTATCCTGCGTGTGTTATGTTGAAGACATCTGATTTATCATGATGGTTAAGGGTGCTCGATTATCTCCATTTATGAGCTGTGTGGCCTTGAGCAAGTCACTTCCCCTTTCTGAACTTACCTACTTGTGAAACAGGAGCTGGTGAGAGGACTTACTTGTTGGCTCCTTTGAGGATTGAAAATGACCCTTTTCAAGCAGGTGGCTTTTATGATTTTCATGCTGTCAAATCTAATAATTGAGTTTGAATGATGCCTCATTTTATCTTGGGAAGAGCTGGGTGGAGCTGAGGAGAAATTATGAACGAATAATTCAAGGTACGCATTTTTGATTGATTAAAAAGAATAGTTAGAATCGTGTCAGGTACAAGGTAAGTGCTCAGATGTGTTAGTTATTTTATTAATGGTAGACCTGTTTCTTGCTTAGTTATAATGGTGAGACTCTGAATTCATTATTACCCCCTTTTATAAATGAGGCTCAGAGACTCAGAGAAGTTTGTTGATTTGCTTCTTTGTGGGAAAGCGGAGATTGGAATTCAGGCCCTGAAATTCTCAAGCCAGGCAGGTTACCGCGCTCCAGTGCGCTACATGTCTGTCTTCCTAAAGGACTAACAGGTACTTACCTACGTTTATTCCAGACGTTTAGGTGGGAGCTCACTGTGACCATGAAGACGTCTTCTGCCGACATTTTCTGTTTCGCTGGTTTCTGGCACCTTCAGTTATTTCTGGCACGGTATACTATAGCAGTAGCACTGACTTACTGTAAACACAAACTGAGATTTTTATATCCTGCCTGGAAAACTGCAGCTCCGCCATCATAGTGCCACCTGACACCGTCTGATGGGCAGGGACAGTGGGCATTAGGTGCTTTTGACAAGGAACACAAGTGCACACAGTAGGAAGCCAGTGATTCCTTCCCGTGTTCCCTTATTTCTTTTGTCCCCAAATTCATCTAATGACGAGGGTTGCTTGATGGAGGGGAGGGCAGGTTCTGCTTGTGAGAAATGCAGATGCCTGGGTCCCCAGAGTTCGTGGTTAGCACAGCTGGAGAGGGGCCCAGCACCTGTTTGAGAAGCTCCCTGGGGCTCTGACGGTCAGTTAATTAGGGGCCGTTTCCCCACTCGGTGTGGAGCTTGGTTCCTTGGCTGTTCACTCTCCTGGACTGGTCAAGGTTGGAGGTGAGGAAAAGAAATCTCCTCACAGAGCTTCCTGGTCTGCAGACGTCATTAAGCAGGGGCAGGCTCCATATCCCAGGAGCAGCTTCGCCCTCGGCTGGACGGACCTCTGATGGTTGTAGTTGAGCGAGCCTGAGTGAAAGCACGATGTGACAGCAGGACCAGTGCTGGCCCGGGGGGCGCACCAGCACCGCGGTGGGAGGGAGGGGGCACTGAAGTCTGCACCTGCGCTTGCGGGGGCTCCTTTTACTGCTAAATGGTGAGCTTATCGCAGTCTCTGCTTTCCAGTTTGCGAATCGTAAGCCTGTGTGTGCCCCTTTCAAGTGGTTTCTAGGGTTTCAGAGTTATGCCTTGGACTCAACTTCACTGTACCTGTTTGCCAGGATGAGTGAATGGCTTCTTAGAAGAACAGGTTTAACCAGGTTACCAGTTTTGTTTCACTTGGTATCTGTAATCTATTGGTGAAAAGGAATTCTTCACTAAGCCCATTTTTATTTAGGATGGAGGGGAAACTTAAGAGAGGACCTGAAGTTTTGTATTGCAGTGGCCTTCCTGGTCCATTACCGTGTCAGCTTTTCCATTTGGAATTTTAAAAAGAGCCCCACATAGATCTGCTGCTGGAGTTTCATTCTGTAAGAAACGAGTCGCCGTTCTGGTGACAGTCCCTTGAGCAGTTGAAGCCGTGCGTCCCCTCTTTCCTTCCCTCTGGTGGCAGTGGCAGTGGTGAGCAGGTGGGGCAGGGAGCCGGCGGTCTGGGGGAGTCGGGGCATGGCGCGAGGCAGAGGCAGCGACAGCGAGGCGTCGTGACATTCTGTGGTGGAAGCGGCAGTGGTGCCTGAGGTCGTTCCATTTGAAAAGCTGATTCTCCCAGACGCTTGTGCCCCTTCTTTGTTTACCTGTGGCATTTCGGAGTTATACTGAAAGCTGATAAATTTTTTTCTTAAAGGAGATAGATACAAGCTAAAAAGTCTTAATGAGTGTTGCATTTTTGCCAGAAGTGGACAGAGAGAAGGTTCCTGTTTACTCCCAGCTTCCTTGGCTCCCCACCCACCAGCACATTCTGGGGGCTGCAGTTCCGGGCTGTTTTAGCCTTCATTGTTCTCCTCATCTGGCAAAATGTTATTACCTAGGTGCAAATACAGACACAGATACAGGCTATACTTGGACAAGAAGCAGAGGAAAGCGTGTAACTGTCCTTTGGTTTTTCTGCCTTGTGCCCTGAGCCTGGAAGACTGTCTAGTTGATCTTCAGTCTTCCGGGAGGGCAGTACCTAAACCACCTTTATGGGAAGCTCTCCAAAGGTCATCAGACGTATCCAGCAATTTCCTACTTAAATTTCTCTTCTTTGAAGTAGAGGACACTTGTCATTCACAGAGTTCCTTATTAGGCATTTTGTGCCAATGTCCTTGTCCTTGTGGAGAGGAAAAAGTTAAGTACCAATGGCAATCCTTGGTGGTGGCCAAAAGAAAAAAATGCGGTCATTCAGATGAACATCCAAAGTGTCTTGAGACGCACACAAGACTAAGTCTTTTCAGTGTGCTCATTTTGTGTAATTTTAATCTTATTGAGAACGATGAAATTTTACCAGCAGTATTTGCTAAATTGGACTTGGGATCTTGAAGGAACCAGAATTGCCATTGGCTACCTGGCTGGAAGGTTTCAGTCTTCCTTGGCACGGTGGAGCCTGGCTAATCTTTTTTTTCCCCCTTAAATTTGAAATAGTGGCAATGGCTGTACACTAGCCAGTGTGTAAGTGCTTTTTGTAACTTCCTTGGTCTTCACGGCAGCTCTGGAAAGTAGGTATCGGCTTCTGTTTACGTATGGTGGAGCTGAAGCATGGAACAGCTTGAGTTGTTACGTAACTCGCCCGGCATCTCACAGCAGTGACTAGCGAAGTCAGGACCAAAGCTAGGTCCCGATGCTGGAGCCTTTCCTCCAGATTGTCACCCTCGGCCACCCCTGTCATTTGAAGTGCCTGTTTGCAGTATCTCCTTCAGCCTTTCTCTTTCGGGATCATTGCAGCTGTTTGCACCACCCTCCTTCCATTTCACAAACCAGAATTCATAAATTCAGATTCCACCATATGGCAAAAGTGGCCAGGTGGCGTTATTTATTCTCTCAAGGAAAAATTTGTTGCCCGAACCTGTGTGGGGAGAATTCTTTCCTTTTGACTTTAGGACTCGTAACGGGGTCAACGGATGGAGATCTCCAAGAAAGCCAGGCTCACTGGTGTTCTTACTGTCCAAAGGTCTGTTAAAACAGAGATTGCAGAATCCAGCTTGACCACTGCACGATTCTTCATGTATATCTTATGGTAAATTAAGTTAGAGGCATTATAGTTCCTAGTCTGAGAATTTTTTAATGATCTGTTATTTAAAAAGGATCTGTGTACCCTGGCTGGGTCATGCTGGAACAACTTAATGATTTATCAACCATTCACCACCTTCCATGGTTTATTTTGTTCTCTTGTTTAGTACTTTCTCATGGCTTGAATAATTTTGCTCCTTGAGAAAAAATTAGCAGAATATAAGAATTTCCAACCTGGACTCTTGACTGGAAGTGTGGAAGTGAGTGCACCACAGTGCTCTCAACTCGTGTGGCAGCCGCCCAGTCCTGGGGGGACGGGAGCAGCTGCTTCCTTTTTCTTAATTTAGGAGGAATGAACTCTATTGCTGTCAGGTCACCAGGGAATGCTCCTGTGGGAAAGTGTGAGACAATTATACCAGGTATTATTTAGTGATCTCCCTCTAACCAAACTTTTATTAATCTGCAAGGAAGGAGAAGCCCTGCTAACACCTAAGTATGAGAGGTCGCATTGGACTCATAGTAATTGCACACTTACATTCCTTTTTCATTTAAAAGGATTTTTTTTTCATGAAGAAACTACGTTTGGCTGACATTACATTCGTGTTCTAGTTGGGCAAAGACTTTAAAAAGTCTTTTGTGTCAGATAAGCTGTAGATGACACGTGTCTGTCTGTGCTCACTTTAAACTGGTGTTTATTCTGTGACACGTAGCCTTTACTGATGGATTCTCCCGTGTTATTTCCTGTCAATTTCTGATAGTCGTGCATCTGCGTGAAATGTTAGCAATAGCTAATTATTTAGGCATATTTAATCTTCTCTCAAACCCAATGAAGAACCTGCTTTTTGTCCTTATTTAACAGATGTGGAGAGTTTGAGGAGTTTACCCAGGTCACACAGCCAGGAAATGGTAAAACTGAGCCTCAAACCCATCTCTTCTGATTTTAAAGCACCTCCCTCCCCCAGCAACACAGGGGTGCCCTGCAGTGTTGGGACTATGGCTAGAAGGTGTTCGTTTCATTTATCTCAGTAGCACACACATGAGGTGTATATCCTTAATACGGCACGTAACTTACCTTTTTCTATGTGCAACAAGCTATATGGATGGGCATCTGCTGTTTTGTGCTTTAAAGCAATGACTCCAGAAGGAAGTGGACTCGATCTTTTAAAAATTTTTATTAATTTTTAAATGTAGGTACTGGGGATGAAACCCAGGACCTCTCACGTGCTGAGCACGCGCTCTACCACTTGAGCTATGCATGCCCCTGGACTTGGTTTAAGTGAGCTTGAAAGCATGCTCTGTCTGTCTAAGCCTGTAAGTCACCTTTTTCTCTTTCACAATAAAACGTTTTGAGTGAAAGGCAGGAGTTCATACTCAAGTGGGTATTACTTATCCATATTGAAGTTTAAATGGTAAAAATACTGCAACAATTTCTGCTCTAATTTGCCCTATGCTGTATTTTCAGTCTTCTGCTAATTCCTTGTGATCACGTATTTGGGACTAATTAGAAGTTAAAGTTCTTTAAAGCTATAGGTTTTGAATACACAGACGCTTTTGATGAAAGATAATATACAAATAATATGAGAAAAGAGGAAATGAAAGGAAACAGAATAGCTACTTGAATGAGGACAGTCTTTCAAGGATATGGTTTTTAAAAATCTTGAATATAATTTAAAAAATGGATTGTTGTGTAGTATTTTAAACATTTTGAGATTAAAAAAAATTGTTCTCAGGAATTGATTACTTAATGTGAATTGAAAAGTCCTTTAGGAAAATTGAGCTTTGTAGTCGATTTCTTCTGTGATATTGGGTACAGAAAGCAAGTGGTTAGAAGAGATCCTAACTGTACTGGAAATAGTTTTCTTTTAAAATACTTAAATTGTATTTTCAGAAGTTTGTAGGAGACATAATTTGTAGCTCCCTTGTAGTTTCTCTTCCTGCAAAAGTGTTCTTTGAATTGAAAGAAATACTTTAGATTGGGGTGGCAGTTCTGATAGTTTGTTAATCATAGCGCTACGTAATCTTATCTTGATACATATTAAATTTGTGGTTAGGTTTGAATTAATCAGGAATGGCGATCTCATTCAGGAATCTAAGGGTTGCTTCACAGAGGCATTTAAGACTTGTTTTTTGAGAGTTAGAGTAATTTAGATTATCTCACAGATATGTTCTAAACTTTCATCATTTAAAGCATGCATCAGAAAATCCTGGAGCGAAAAACCCTCAGAACAGCATGTTAACAGCTGTAGACCTTCCATCCAGCTTATTTTTATGCTGTCTCTTAACAAATTTTTAAATGTTTATTAAAAATCTGGGTCTCTATATATATTGAAAAAAATTTATGATAACTATCATAATTGTTACAAGAAAATAATTTTCAACTTCCAGGGAAGCATATTCTTAAATCTTTGCACTTAGAGTTCAGGTTGTTTGCATACATGAACAAACCTGGACCAGAACCTACGAAAGTCCCACTCACCCCTGCTCATCGTGCCTCCAGCCCTCACAGGAGCCCCTGAGCGCCTTGCTGGCGTCCTCTCCCTTAGCCCTGTGGGGGTCGGAGGCCGCGCTGGGGCTGGGCTGGCCTGTGCGGCGCGTCAGAGTGCGCACGTCGGGAGGCGCTTCTGTTCCTGGTGGTGCTCTGTCTCATCTGGCCCCTCAGCGAGGGAAGAAGTAGGTGAAATGTCAGCGTGTAGGCAGTGGACTCTAACTATGATCATCTTTTTCTTACCTGCCCCCTCTTAACTCCCAGGGACCTCCTCAAATAGGCGTTTCTCATGGTCTGTGCACCACCTGCTGAGCTGTGTCAAATAATTTTTTTTTTAATTAAAGAAAATTTGTACCATGTTATTCCAGAAAAGTTAACTATTCAACATTTATTCCTGCTGGAAGATGGGAGTGCTCGAAGCAAATGTCTGTTATTTTTCAGTGCTGGCAAAAAGGTCTTTTCTGCTCAGTTAATTTTGTGTGTTAAGTTATCATTGTACCTATTTTACAGATTTCTAAAACTGTGGTGGAGTTTCCTTCCCCCCAAAACCCCAGTAACTCTATTCTCCATACAATGAGAGTTAATTGTGAGACATGATTTCATCGTGAAGTGTAAATACTGGATGTTGAATAAGCACTTTATCGTGATGGTGAATTAGCTGTGGTCACTTGTGGGAGCTAACTTTACTTTGGGGGGTAATGTTGGTTGTTTATGTTGATAGAACAATGCAAATACAGAATGATGGTAGTTCGGTAAAAATGAAGAGAGCATTCAAAATGTAAAGTCCTTATTATTTTCAGTTTCCAGAATTCATTTTTTTATCTTCAAAACTTTTTTCAGCATTATTGAGGTACAGTTGGCATATAAAATTATAAGCTATTTAGTGTACGGTGTGGTGATTTAATGTACATACACACTGTGAAAGGACTTTCCAACCAAGTTAACACATCCATCATCTCACAGTCTTAACTACCATTTTTGGTGGTGGTGTTTAGAATATTTAAATTCTACTCGTAACAAATTTCAGCTATCTAATACAGTCGACCCTCTATATCTGCAGGTTTTGCAGATGAGGCTTGAAAATATTTAGGACAAAAAATTGCAGAAAGTTCTAAAAAGCAAAACTGGTGTTTGCCAAGTGGCGGTGGCTATTTGCATAGCGTTAACATTATATTAGTCAAGTAGTCTAGAGATGATGTAAAGTCTGGAGGATGTGCTCAGGTTATATGCAAATACGTCTGACCACTGAACGACGTGGGGGGTAGGGGCACCCCCCTCTTCCGAAAGGTGAAAACCTCTGTGTGACTTTACAGCCACCCCACACCTTCCGCATTGGCGGTTCCACCAGCCTCAGAGTGTGTGGTCCTGCAGTCCGTGTTCAGTGAAGAAATCCTGGGGTGGGTGGACCCGCGCAGCTGAAACCCACGCGGGCTCAGCCGTCCTGCAGCGTTTCACGTAAGGGACTTGCGCATCCTTGGGTTTGGCATCCATGGGGTCCCAGAACCACTGCCCCAGGGAGACTGAGGATGGCAGTACAGTGCTGTCACCTGTAGTCACCATGGTGTATGCACATCCTCAAACTTTGTCCGTCTTCTAACTGAAAGGTTGTACCTTTTACTGACCTCCCCCTACCTCTCCCACCCCAGCTCCTGGCAGCCACTTTACTACTTTGTTTCTACCTGTAAAACACAGCACGCGAGCTGTTTTTATCTTTCTCTGGCTCATTTCACTTAGCATAAAGCCCTCCAGTTCACCCACATTGTTGCATATGACAAGATTTCCTTCTTTTTAAAGGCTGAATAATATTCCACTAATACATGTTAAAAGAATATCACATTTATGATTATGTATATGTGTGTGTGTGTGTGTGTGTATATATATATATGCATATCTTGATCCATTCAACCATCCACAGACACTTAGCTTGTTTCCATGCCTTGGCTATTGTGAATAATGCTGCCTGAGTCCATGTTTTTTACGTGCTATATAGCAGAAAATAATTTGTTAAACTGATGTTCACCCTTCTTAAAATCCAGGAGTAAAATCAGTCCAGTGGAACTGTGTAGAGGAATCCAAGAACATTTGGTGTTAAAATTAACTTATTTAAATCATTTGGTGGGCATGCAAATGAGAGTTACCTTTTTCAGTGCACTGGAAGAAACGTTTTACTCATTGACTCAGCACATTTTAACCCAGGGCATATTTAACGTGCTAACTGCTTTATAGTTAAAAAGATGCCATGATGGATGTACCGGACGGTCAAGGGGGGTCGGGAAGGAGTGA